GAAAATGTTGTATACTTTGAATAGTTGTTTTTGGAACACTATAAAAATAATTATCAAAAGATCTTTTTATGTATTTCGCTATGGATAATTACAATTGCAAGAGTTTTTAGACGGGTCGAGTGAAGAGACAGCCATTTGTGACACTTGTGCCCGAGTATTTGGTGTGTTTAGCGCCAGGCCGGGGTGTGAGGGGTGTAATGGCCTGCTTTGTAAGGGTCGTGACCCATTGACATTTCTACGCCTCCCTGATTAATCATTCTTAACCTGTCATTGTCATGTTGCGCTTCTTCTCCCCCCTCCCACTCTTTCTCTTTCTCTCTACACATTTGCATTTTTATTGTTCCTTCTCCCTGTTTAAGTACCGTCCAATTAAGTGTTTTTTGTCTCACTGTCAACATAGGAGTTCTTAATTAAAATTTCGGGCTTTATGCATGTTTTCTCGCTGAAAGGTTTTGCACGGTTTTGGAAGGTTTATTCTTTTAGCGTTAATGAATGACCTGTTTGGTTTGGAGCTTAAATAAACCTAACCCATGCCAAACTTGTTTACAGTTAGGAAGTACGAAGAAAGTATGAAAACAAAATGCATTACTAGTTTTGAGTAGCTTATGTATTTTACTCTTTTATGGCTGTTTAAAAACATGTATTGTTACATTTTTATTAAAATAATCTCAGACAGATTTTTTGAAATTGAAAAAAAATATTCAAAATAATTAATTGGGTAAAATCGAGGCTGTAAGTTAAGAGGGTAAAAATTAGTTTTATTGCATTGAGTACCAACTACATGTACCAACTAAAAATAACTCAAGTGCTAATTAATAACAAATGAAAATTTTAAACCTCTTTATAGCAATAAAACAACAAATTCCTAACTGAAACTAGACAACTGCAAACATATCTCCCGAGTACTCAAACGGTAGTAAAACTCCCAAGATGGAGTATGGCATTTTTCAGGATGAGAACGAAGGTATATTGCGTGAAGATTTGTGCTGTAATGTGCGTATGTGGTCAGTAGGACTACTCAGTATGACAAACACGAACAACAAGAACCAGTCTAGACCAGCCTGTCTGAGGTCGAGCTGTCAATCACTGTCAAACACTACACGCACACAAAAACTCATGCACACACGCACACAAACACAGGCTCTCTAACATCAAGAGTTGTCTGAGAGGATAAACAAAACTGCACAATACATTGCAGGTTTTATACACTTTTGGTTTTTTATTTTGTCCAATAAAACAGGGTGTTCTAAAAAGGTGAGAATATAATTTAGGTAGTGATTACTCGATTCAAAATAAAGAAAAAATCATAAAAAAGCATAAAATAGTAAAAATACAAAAAAGTACCGTACCCCCGAGTAGGACATTATAACATTTTTAACAGTATAACAGTAATATAACAAGTATAACAGTAAGAGTATAGCATTTATTTTTTAATTTCCTTAGATAAAAAAATTTTTATCTTTGAATTTGTTTAACCAATCTTTATGAAACTTTGTATGGTAGAAGAGAACCATGCAAGAAAAAAACTTATCTTGATTCAACTTAAAATTTCAAAATGGAAGTCATTTAAATTTTTACTAAACATAAATTACTAAAATGTGGCAGATTTTATGAACAAATGTTAAGAACACTTTTATTTAGCATTTTAAGTTCTCTATCAAACAACACCAAGTTCAAACAAGTTCAAAAAGATCAAACAATAAATATCAAAATCTGAAATATCACGATTTTTAGTTGTAAAATGGGGTAGAATAAGGCTAAGGTTTGCCTCATTTTACAACTAAAAATCATGATGTTTCAGTTATTTTTTTAACAACTTTATTAACAAAAAGGAATTACTGTATGTCCAAATTCACAGTTTTTATCTATAAAAAAGGAGATCCAAGCATATAGCTTTTCTTCACGTAAATGGTGCTCCAAAATTTGTTTTAAATAATAAATATATATTTTACAACTCATCCTCAATTGCATCAGTAACACATCAAATCTTCTCAAATACTTAGCAAGTTAGTGAATGTCAATCAAACAATGCTGGATTGGCATAATCTCTCTTATGTTAGATATATTTTTTTTAAATCTCGACTGCAATGGAATTTAATGTCAAAACTGATAACGAGTTCCAATAGATTATTTTGAAGACAAAAACATATTTTCCCAGAATGTAATGAACGATGACCCTTAAAAATTCAAAAATCAAAAGGTGTATGTGTATTTGAAGGCTGCTGTATTGCGTAACAGAAGACTGAAACAAATCTCCGAGGGTACAAGCTATGCACATCATTGTGCATCTGAATGGACGAGACTCTATTCTTAGCTGACTGGTCTACTCTAGAAATATCCGACTGTCACCCAAACAGTCTGTGACACTTTGTTTGTTTTGTAAGTGCAGTGGTACCTCAATAAGAAGACGTTTGATAAAAAGTGGCCCTTAATAACAAAGTGTTATTTTCAAATACCCTTGAGTTTATAACTCGTAATTGCATGTTAATGCAAACCTCGAAAGGCGGACAAACTTGATAACAAGTCTTATTTTTTTCATTCACACGAGAGACTTGTTATAGAGGTTCTACTGTAGAGTTTAAAGAGCTTTCATTGGGATTGTAAATCTATGATCGAGAGAATGTAAAATTTGCTGAGATTGTAAAAGGTAAAATGAGGAATGCAGTAACGATCACATTCAATTAAAAAACAATTTTTGAAATGGTGTAAACAGTTATAGTTTTGAATAGTATAGCAACTTGCTTTTGGTGTCGTTTTCAGGCTATATATGCCTTGTCTATGCTCCTGAACTCATTGAAAATTGCAATTTAAGTTGATATAAGCAAGTATTTACACCATTTTCAATATGGGTAATCTGGAGGTTGGAACGCCATAAGGAAAAAGTGTAATGAATAGTTTTTGCTGCAAATATGTTACAATCATGGATAGTTGACAGTTAATGTTTTAATGATTTTATTCTGTTTAAATAATTTTTATATTTGTTACTTTTGGTTAATGTATAATTTACTGTTGAAAAGATACTTGGAAGATCCAAACATAAAATCAAATCCATACACATTTATCGTGGAAATAAGAATACGCTTTGTAAAAACTTACAGTAAATGTTGATCGAATATTTTTTTAAATATGTTTGCTCCATGGAAAGAACATTAAGATAATTTTCTGGAATAAACAGGTAAAGTAGGCCGAATTATTTTATAAAAAGACCATAATTAAATAAATTGTAGGAGGCTATGACAAATTTTGATAAAAGATTTAAAGCATAAAACATTTAACCTAATATTATAAATAGCTGGATTGGTCTTTCCATAGAGGTTAGAGTTTGTCTGTCAATAAAATGCTTACACGTCTAAAAAGAAAAATGTTTTTACAGTAATTTCAACAGTGTAAACTGTCATCAGTATAATGATGACTCATTGGCTTCGTTAGGATTTTGATCATTACCTGAGTCAGATCATTATACATTGAAAAGCTTGAATCTGACCTCATGTCAAAACTAAAACCATTTGGATTATTTACCTAACAGAAAAGTTGGCTCCAGCAATATTTATAACATTGCATAACCAATGAAATAAAAAGTTCAGATATATATTTGAGATCTTAAAAACTCACACAGTTAAAATTTAAAAATACATTTAAAAAGATGTAAAATGTAAATGAAATTAGATAAGGTAGAACAAGGTATAAAACATTGCAAAATGGTTTGTGGTATTTCTGTCCTAGATTTAAAACCATGATGGAACTAACTTGATTAATGATACATCCCGGATGATAAGAACAGACGATTTGTAAAAGCAGTGTTATGACTGATGAAAAGAAATGCAGAACATGGACAAGAACTAGCAAAGTGGCAAACAGAATGTGATTGAGGGAAAAACAATCCTACAAATTATTAAGGTAGGCCTACGCCTAAAAATCTGAGTAATGAATTATTATAAACAAATTTGCTGGACACAATCTATTTCTGAGTTCTGTAATAAGGACGTCAGTTTGTCAGTTGGTGTGTTTTATATTCCTTGCTAATGATATGATATTGGCAGCCTTCTAGACACTGATTTGCTGCCACTTATCATGTTTATTTTGGAGACATTTCACCTACTTCTGTTGATTGACAGTTTAATATACAAATGCAGCGTCATTTTGGTTATTTGTGACTTTTTAATATTAATAAATTAACATAGATACAGACGTTTATTGTGTGAAAAAAATATTGATTTGAAGGACATTTAGTAAGGAGCTTCATTGGTTAATATTTAGTTTATTATTAAATATTTGTAACTAAAAATAATTTACAAGTGTAGTAAAAATGTAAAAATATTCAATTTTACAAAAAAAAAAAAAAACATACTTTAACATATATATGTACAGGTCAAATCTGAGATATTTTAAAACCCCTCCTGCATCAAGATTTTCCTTGAGCTGAGATTTTGTATTCAATTAATGTGTTATAATGTCATATAATAAATTAATAAGTCACAATTACTCTTTTTCAAATGAATTTTAATCTTATAGGCCTAATGCAAAGTTAAATGGTGTTTTTAAGTGCATATAAGCATAATGAATGAAGAAAAAAGTGAGCAAAAAGTAATGAGTAGAGAAACTCGGTTATGAGAAATAGGGTATTTTTTTCAAAGGGCAATATTTTCTTTAATTTGTAGACTCGTTGATTAAAAATTCACGATATATACCAATAATAAATGGACTTATTGAAAGTAAATTTTTGAAAACATGATGAGTGATTTAGGGTAAATTGTGGACAACTTTCATGACTTTGGAGACTATCTAATTATCTTCTGCGATCTCAGAAATCTTTAAAGACGCATGAAATCACGATGATGTGAGAATAAAAACTGTGTTTGATTTTCTATCTTGGTAATCAATTGAAAGAATTTGGCTTGTCTGAAACATCAAGCCACTCATATACCACTAACTAACAACTACAATTGTTGAACCTCCAGCTTCTCGAACGCTAACAATAAGAAGGACAAGTGGCTCCCTACCTTGTCAGAGTCCGTGGTGTTGCCGGAGCCAAACGATGCCAAAGACCCTCTATCAAGGTTCTCTACACTCTCGTCCAGTGAGGCCGAGTCCTCCAGGTCTCTGTCAGAACAAGAGTCAAAAAATGAGTCATCAGGATTAAAATGACTACTAGCATCACATAAAGGTGTGAATGGAATTGTGTTGGATTGTATTGCTCCTCAATTTGTCATAAAAAGTTTTGGAGTGAGGAGTGTCAATGGTTTGTAGGTTAACTCTTACAAGACAAGGATGTAACATACAGCAGGACACAAGTGAATAGCTTTTAATAATTTTGTTAGGATATCAGATATACCTGAATGGGGAGAGTGCATCCTGGAATAGTCAATGATCCTGGCATATGAAACACAAAATCCTACCACTATATACACATTCTGATTTTCACGGTGACTGACAACATTTTCAACTAATGAAGGTTTAAAATGGAGGGAGAGATTTTTTCAATCCTTTTAACTCAAACTATTCATGAATTAATCAAATTTTTGTTTACAGGGTAACATTTTGTGTTTCTTGTGCCCAAGGTAGATCCATTCACTCCATTTTCCCATTACCCATTTAGGTAAGGTACAGTACATCACAAGCACAAGGGTATATCTTTTAAGGATTTTTGTTAGTATATCAGGCTTACCTGAATGGCATATGAAACACAAATCCCTACCACTATATACACACACATTCTAGTTTTTCACAGTGACTGATAAAATTGTCAACCAATGACAGTTTAAAATGGGAAGATAGATGTCTTAAATCATTTTAACTCAAACTAGAAATTAATTATTCTAATTTTTGTTCACTGGGTAAAGTTATGTGGCAGGTTAGATCTATTCACTCCATTTTTCCTTTACCCGTTTAGGTAAGCCTACTATCCTAACAAAAACCCTCAACATCATAGGAAAAAGTTAAGTTTATACTACTGACCTTGTCTTAGAGAACTATCTTTTGTTGTTTCTAAACCCACAGATCATAGTTTGCTCCAAATCCCAAGCCGCAGTATTATTACACAGCTGATTACGATTGGTGACAGGCAGTATACCAGCCTTCCAAACAGAACTTGTACGCTCAAAGCACTAGACCAGCTGATCCCCACAGTTGGCCACAGTTTTATTATATATGTTTTCTTATCCATAAGTTTCATAAGCCTTTCCACATCTCTAGCAACTATGTTTGAACTATTGTCTGTACATTCAGAATACCAAACTGCATTTTACGTAGGTTGTTAACATAAGTTTTACTATGACATTTGTGCTATCCATACCTGCTGGATCGCTGGCTGCTTCCCTTCAGTTTGGCAGGACTCTTTGGCAGACTGAGAGGGAGGGCTGAGCTGAAGTAGGTCTCTTGTATGACTTCTCTCAACTTCTTCACCCAGTGTTGTTTGCTCTCCAGAGAAGAAGCCTGAAACATCGGAGAAAAACTGTTAAACAACGGTCATGCTAAGAAAAATAGTAATAACCAGCTGTGAAAAATAAAGTTTTTGTAAAAAAGTGCTACATACACACAAACAATTAGAGCCCACCACAAATTCTCTTTCAAAACAAGACTTCCATATTTCTGTTCTATAGAGATAATATTATCATAGACAAAAAGTATTGAATATGGACTGCCAGCCGTGCTGCGGTTACTATAGTTACAATAGGTTCTGGCGCTGACCGCTGGGAGTGCCGTGTAGCTTCATAGCGCTTATGAAATGAAATGAAATGAAATGAAATGTGTTTATTGTCCTTAGAATTTTCACAAATTATTGACAAAGTCATACAACTGCTAAGGTTTATAGCATAGTCAGTTAATAAATACAGTAAGATACAATATAGCTAACTAAATAAAATGAGACACTTTACAATACACATTTTAAATATTACAATTGAATAGGTAATCTTATTCTTAAGAAAAATTTGTGGCATTGAAAATAATGGAAGTGATTAAACCGCATAACCAACAAAGTCCAACAGTAAATAATTTGGTCAATTCGCAAACTCTTAACTCTACTTAAAAATTAATACCAGACATTTCAAAAAATTCATTTAGAGAATAGAATGGGTTGTTCAAAAGCCATCTGTAGAATTTTGTTTTAAAAGTGTTTTCAGGATATTTTTGTATTAAATGTATTAGTTTGTTGTATATTTTTAGTGAGATTACAATATGGCTTTTAAGAGTTTTAGACAGTCTGAAAAAATCTATGGTAGCAACGCTTTTATTCCTAGTATAATGAACATGAGAAATTTGTTTGATTAAGTTGGGATTTTTTAGAACGTATGATACAGAGTCAAATAAATAAATGTTAATCACTGTTGGAATTTGCAGCTGAATGAACAGGGGTTTACAGTGTTCCTGTTGGGGTTCATAGGATATAATTCTAACCAACTTCTTTTGTAAGACTAGAATTTCCTCTATCCTACTGCAATTGCCGTAAAATATAATATTGTATCTAAAAATGGATTGAAAATAAGCAAAGTAGGCTGTTTTAATGTAATTTTGATCTATACAATGTATTAGTTTAGTCATAAGACAAATTACCCTTGAAAGCTTAGAACTTATGTAATCAATATGAGGTCCCCAGGAAAGAGTCTTATCCAGATAAATACCAAGAAATTTCACGTTGTCTACATAGCCATCCAACATATTTAATTCAAACGGTCTAAGGCGAAAAACAATTTTTTTAGTTTTATCTTTATTTAAGAGGAATCCATTAGATTCAAACCAGATAGAAGCTTCATTAATTGAGTTTTGAGCTAACTCTTGAAGTTGTTTAAGATCAGGATTAATATTTAAAAATGTTGTGTCATCTGCATACAAATAAGTTTTACTAGTTATACTAGTAGCTGGGAGGTCGTTAATACAAATTAAAAATAACAGAGGACCTAGAACAGACCCCTGAGGCACGCCATATTTTATTTTAAATTCTTGGGACCAGTCTCCATCAATATTGACTTTTTGTGTTCTATTGTTTAAGTATGACTTGAAAAAAGAAAGTGGAGTTCCGTTGATACCGTAAAAACTTAATTTCATTATCAGGTCATCATGGTCCACACAATCAAAAGCCCTACTCAGGTCGCAAAAAGTGGCCTGAGCAAGTGACTTCCTCTCAAAGACCATTAGTACCTCATTAATCAATTTATCTATTGCGTCTGATGTACACTTGCCCTTTCTAAATCCAAATTGCGAAACACTTAAAAAGTTGTTTCTTTCAAAAAAAGAATTCAGCTGATCAAAGACCATGATTTCAAACAATTTTGATACTACAGGAATGATTGATATTGGGCGATAACTTTCTGGAATGTCTTTTTTACCTTTTTTAAAAATGGGACAGACTCTGGTGACCTTTAATTCATCTGGAAAGACGCCTTCAAGGAGACAGAGATTAAAGCAGTAAGATAGAGGTTCAGCTAGATTACCAATTATCTGTTTAAGCAAACTATTAGACATAAGATAAACATCATTACTGCTAGAGTTTTTTAGTTTTTTTGTGGCTTTTATTAGATCATTAGGTGCAATAAAATTCCAGAAAAAAGGCACAGGAGTAATGGAAGACTTATTAACTAAATCTTTTGAACTGTAGGCATTACTAACAATTTTCATTTTTATGTTTTCAATTGATTCAATAAAAAATGTATTAAAAATATCAGGAGATATTTTAGGTTTTTTGTTGCCACTGGTTTTAATGACTTGCCAAGCAGTTTTACATCTGTTATTACTTTTTTCTATGAGATTTGTGTTGTATTCTATTTTGGCCTTCTTAATTGAATGCTTATATTGATTTTTTAACCCATTATATGCTTGTTTTGTTTCATTTGAAACACTTCGACTATTTTTTACTATTTTATCAAGAAAAATTAATCTTTCTTTCATAACTCTTAACTCACTAGTATACCAAGCATTACTTTTATTTTTTTTTGAATTTTCAGTCTGAATTTTTACTACTTTAGAAAAATAAAAAATGTTATCTTTTAAAACTTTGAAAAACATTTTAAAGATATTTTCTGCTTTTGGATTTATACAATTAAGAACTTTTGTCCAATCATAAGTACCAAGCTTATCCACTAACACACCCACCGAATCTTTTGGCAAAATTACTTTAGAAAAGGAGTTCAAAGCAGCATATTGATTAACGCAATTTTTTCCCAAATTCAAAGTTATATTTAATAGAAGACCATTGTGGTCGGAGAAAGGAAAATCAAAAACTTTACAGCTTATGTTTGCATTTTTATTACAGTTTGTTAATACATTGTCCAGGCAATTGTTGCCTCGAGTAGGGTAGTGATTTAGGAAGTGAAAATTGTGCTGGCGGAGTATATTAAGAAATTGTTTAGAGAGGTAGTTGTTCTGTGTCAAGTCAAAATTTTTATTAAAATCTCCTCCAATAATTGAAACATAATTAGTCCAACGAGAAAGATGAGTTAATAATTTATCAAAATTTTCAAGAAAAACCACAGGGTTGCCCGAAGGTGAGTGGTAGACTGAAACAAAAATTAATTTAAAATCCTCGATAAAGACCGCTGCTGCTTCTAAACTCATTTCAGAACAAAACTGGTCCAAATCACACATTTTAACCTTTAAAAAGTTTTTAGTGAAAATTAAAGAGCCCCCCCCTTATATGATCAGTTCTGCAGAAAGCACTACTACAACAGAAACCATCAGGATATGCCAAGGCAACTTCTTCTGTTCTTAACCAATGTTCAGTTAGACCGATAGCAGAAATATTATTACTGAGTAAAAATGACTCTAAAATTGATATTTGATTTTTTAAGCCCTGGATATTTAGAAACAAGAAAGTAGTATCCGCATTTACAACTGATGGGTTTTTTAGTGGTTTTAGCTTGGCAGTCTTATTAAGGCTAAACACTATTATTAGGCCTACTTGGATCTACAGAAACAAATGATGCATTGGTACTGAGATCAACACTACACATCTGGGAAATGACTTTATCAGTTAGCTTATCTAGATCTCTTATATTACTCACATCCTTGGCACAATTACTCTGCTTTAGCACTTCACTTGAGACACACTGGACACTATCAGGGGCTTTTTCGTCTGTCACGTTGAACTGTAGTTGCTGCTGAGCCGGGGGAGTATGAATATTGGTCTCTGTAGTCTCCAGAGAGGCATTGGTAGGTGATGGTGTTGGAGCTATGGTGTCTGTAGCATGTCTTGTGAAACTCTTAGGTGTGGATGTAACAGCTGTGTTCCTTGGTGGTTCAATGGTATGTAGGGCTGGAGATTTTTCTTGTAGGGATTTAGAGTGTCTACTATGGTTTGTGAGAAGTTCTGTTAGCTTTTTATGAAGACCGCCGCTTATCTTTGACATTCTTTTGGTTTCTTTTACATCTAAAACTATGTAGACTGTGGCGCCAGTGACAGATTGAAAACTAATAATCTTATTAATAAAGTGCTCAGGCTGTATAAAGTCTCTAACGCACCCCATTGGGGAACAGATCAAAGTTTTTAGGCCTCTGTTTTGAAAGTCGTTGACAATCGTAACAACATGGCTCTCCCAGTGGTGTGCACCAGAACCTATGGTAACCGCAGCACAGTTGACGGTCTATATTTAATTCTTTTTGTCTATGATATTATGCAGGTCCGGTCTCAAACCAGCTATGTTTGTCCTATCGACCTTATACTTACACAACTACTACCAAAAGGTTCCGAGATCAGAAAATTTAATTAATTGTGAAAAATAAATTGTGCAAACAGTTAAGTTGTATGTAAATCAACCTAAGCTTGTCATATTTATGCGGAAAGATTTAGCGTATACCAGGTTATACTTCACTTACTTAAAGTAAAGGTTACACAAGCAAGGTAAGGTACCTTAAGGACGATTCGGAAGTCTGATATGGGTGCTCGTCCAGTCCACACGGCAAACTTGCACTCGTCTCCTTCTATGTGTTCCGTCACTCCCAACTCAGAGGTCTATAATGGCAAAATATGATTTTAAAAGTAAGAATCGTGTAACAACAAATAACTACAGCTTGAAGTACAAAGATAAGTAATTTTTGTGCTGTTACTCAATAGACTGTGTGATAAGATCTGATAGAAATTGCAACAGCTAATACTCCATACAAATTCATCAAGAATCAATTAAGATTGCATGAAATCTCATCGAACCATTTTCTTGCAACAAAATAATTCCTGATAAAATCCAATAAATCCTATTCAAAACAAATTTAAGATCTGCGACAGCCTAGAAATATTCCAACTACTGGGGATCTCGCATTGGGAAGGAGCAATAAGAGGGCACATTGAATAGAATAGTACCATTGACTATTGACAAAAGTAGATATCCCATGCCATGTTAAAAAGTAGCCAGTTTTAAAAAAGAAATCAACATTGTTGAACTAAGCAACTGACAGAGTGAAATGATGTCACTTACTGATTACTGTTTAATACAACAAATTTGAAAGGACTAAGTTTAGCATCTTTTATACAGGGTGTTTTTTTAAAAACTTGTTTCTTAAAAACTGCAATAGATAGAAATTATGCAGTTTGAGAAAATCATCATTGATGTAGAGGCCAAAACTATTGTGAATCAAACTTTAAGCTCCCATTCACCCCCTTTCTCCCCCTACCTTTAACTTAAAATGTTAAAATTGCAAGGTACCCCTTGTGACATATCAAATGAAAGGGCATGAAAAAAGAAAAAGGATGGTGCAAACTAGAGCCCTCTTTGTCTAGGGGGAGAGAGGGGGCAAATGGGAACTTAACGTTGAATTCACAACAATTGTGGTCTCTACTTCAATAGATGATTCCCGCAAACTGCATATTTCTATCTTTTGCAGTTTTTACATAAATAAAGGAGCAAGTTAAAAAAAAACACCCTGTATAAAATAGAATATCATGATATCAAAGACTAAGGGAGAAAATATAATTTTGACAATAGCTCATTCTGTGAGTGGTTATTTCAACTATGTTTAAATTTGAATAAACATGCGTAAAGCAGTGCCATACAAATAGGATGTCTACTTCAGTATCCAAGAGTCAACGATGGTAGATTGTTTTGGTGAATAACAGCTCTACTAGTAACTTCTGCTAGTCAAGGTGAAAGGATTGTCACTGGCACCTCCAACTTATTTCATCCACAAAACCAGTACTTGTAGATACTTTTTTTGTCCTAGGATGCTAGGCACGAGCCCGGAATTGTTTTTCACATTACTTCAGGCTAGACCTAGGGGTTGCGGCATTATCACATGGATAAAATCCATTGGTGATTTGACAGGATTTGAACCCAGGACCTCTGGAACCGAAATCCCACGCTCTAACCACTAGACCAGCTCGCTCCCCAAAAAACTTGTAGATACTAGGACAACCTAACGCTAAACTATGAAACATTTGAATGCCCAAAACATTACCACCATAGCACCCTATCCTTGATCCTTGGATACTTGATAGAATTTTTTCTATGGTGATTTTAAACAATATTTTCAAAACACAAGCCACAAAACACTCACCATAAGTTTATTCTTGTAGATGTACTTCGCTTTCCCACTGGAGTCCTTCACTTCCTTACTGAACACCAAGTACAGTTCAAAGAGGAAGCAATGCCTCTCCCTGCCTTTCCTGATCAGCTGTTTAGGGTCCCAAACATGCAGAGTGTCCTGTAGTATCACTTCTCCCAACTCGTCCGAACTAATATCACAGCCTTCCAGGAGAGATAGATGAAGTGCGTCGTTGGCTTTCTTGGGGACATTCAGCATCACTTCTAGCCCATCCTGAGGAAAATAAACAGTATCAGCAATATGACACATACTTTCTCTCATTAGCTTGTCAACACCCCTCATCAAGGGCGGTGGGAGTAGCTATGATATTTTATGGGGGAAACTACATAAGCTGCGATACATCTAAACTGTAATTCTTGTAGCATTGGGGGTTGAACTATTTTGATTAACCATAACATACTAAATTTTAATCAAAATAGTTTGAACCGTTTTTGTGAAGATTTGGTTTTTCTTGTTATTTTATTATGTGGTTTTTTATGAAGAAATTACTACAAAAAAAAAAAAAAATCAAAATTAAATTAAGTTATCTATATCTAGTCTGTGTAAACATAAACCAAACTTCAATAGCTGAGTTTGGATGTTCACATTTTAGTTTAGTTTTTTTTGCGTGTTTTCGAAGTATTTACGATGTTAAGATTTTCTCAAGAGTCTTTAAATGAATATAGAGTTCAGCAACATTTTTACAATATCAAAGGTTTTTTTGTTTGTTTAGTTCCTATTAATGAAACTTTCAACAAACAAGACACTAGGAGCTGACAGCACAAACTACATCAATAACATCGTTAATACAAATTAATGCTAAATAATTAATTCTATTGTTTAATATATCCTACTTAGTCAGGGCCGGATCTAGGAACCGCGAAACCCCGCAATGCAGGGGGGCCCAAGCCCTTAGGGGGCCCAAAGAGCTCTATAATTTAAAATTATTTTAATGCATATAAACATAATTGAATAGGACGGTAAGTTTAGTTTTGACAGACAAATATTGTCAATATCAAAGCTAAAGTTACAATTATTGAGTAAATTTAGACCTACTGATTTTACTCGTCAACAACTCGGGACCTCGCCGTAGACAGTTTAATCTGTGGTTTACTGTCACTTTCAGTCAGTCCAGTCTGTATGCTCAGCTCAGTCCAGTCAGCTCGTCAGCTGCAGTGCACGCTTCACAGATCCACTACAGTCCGATCGACGTGGACGTAGTGTCAACTTAGTCAACTATCAGTTGAGCTGAGCAATAAGTCTGTAGTACAGGCGGGACTTATAATAACCTCTGTAGCGTTATCTAACGACCTCAGGGCCAGAGAGAGCCGTCACGGGCCTCTGAGCTGAGTGATCTCCGGCCCCCTATTTTCCCGATTTAGTGTCTAGCCGCCTCCGTGCCGTTTTGTTAAACATTTAACAATATATCTAAAACGCATAATAGTTTGATTAATTCTCTTGCTCCTAGTTGCAACTTTATTCCACTCAAAAATTAATATGTGAACTGAAAAACCATGCTAAAATCTTTGATTTTAGCAGATTACATGTACAGAAAATATTTCACAATTCACATTTGACCAGGCTGGGCCCCTTTCAGAGCCCAGGCAGGGCCCCGGGGCTTTGGCCCCTCTGCCCCACCCTCTGGAACCATGATTTGTATGTAGGCCTACCTATCTTGAAAATATACGAGTAGTGTAAAAAGAAACTAAGTTTAAATTGAGTCGTTTGTTTATTATTATACATTATTATTTATTCTTGAAATTGTTTATGTAAAACCTTTTACTTTTTTTGTACAATATGTATTTTATAATTTGTAAACCTATTTGAAAGGCTAAGAATCTATTTCTATTTCTATTGTAATATGTATTTGCATATTATTTGAAAGACCATTGTCTGTGCAGTGGGTCACTTGGGGACAGTGGACACTCTTTCACTATTTCAAGAAATCCTATTGACATAAGAATAAGCTTTATTTGAAGTTTGCTGTTTTTTTTTTAGTACATAATTTTACAAAATTCCGCATTTTAACGAAAATGTTTTTTTACAAACAGGATCAATATTTTATCTTTAAAATAGCGTTAAAATTCAGTTTCAGCTACATACATTTTAAACATTCCCCCCCCCTCACGCAAATAAGGCCTCCCTGCTATTGATGCCAGCTCTAAGGGCCCTTGGAGGATTTTTGCAGGGGGGCCCATATTTTGTAGATCCGGCCCTGTACTTAGTCTAGTCTTTATCTACTAAGTTAAATAATTTGAGAGCTATGTAATTAAAATTAAGTTTTTCAAAGTAAGGATATGTCCTGAATTTGAATATACACATTGGTTAACAAAATGAGCCATAATCTAATTTAGCTAGAAGAAAAATACCTATTTATAAATTTGTCACATATGAGCCGTGACTAATTCCACCGGGCGAATGTCACGACTCATATTCAATGGTTCAAGTGTTTTTTTTATAGTAGGCTAGTTCAGTGTTTCGTTGTTACTTCCACGACCCCGAACAAGGCTGTGGGTTTTGTTCTTATTACTCCCACCGCCCAGCACTTCAGAGGTTGCGTGACAATCAACTAGTTAACCTCGCAGACATTTTTCATCGTTTTAAATCCCCCTTTTGGCACATGAATTATACAAGGTTGTGTAAGTTTTTTAATTTGTGCTTAGTCTGCGAGGTTATGGAGTAGTTCAAGTGCGCCACGCGCGCCTTTTGGGGCCCGTGAGGAGGACTATGCACTGGACCGTTTCGACCTTGGCGGAGGAAATTTGTAACACATGGCTGCCTCGTAGACCTTGGCCCCCTCTCCGTCCTGCTTGGTTCCCCCTCCGGTGCTGAACATCTAGACCTGGCCCAAAACCCAACCGCACTACCGCAAGTTACCCACTGTCGTTATGTTTTTTGATTTTATTTATAAAAAAAAGCAACCCAAGAGACTATTTGAAATTATTATTGTTATAGGCCTATACATAGTTTATTAATTGTTATTCTTTTTAAATTTTAAATTCTTTAGGCTACTTGTTGATTTTTTTTAAATTTTATAATTTTATTAAATATTCTATTGAATTCTAATTTGGGGCCCCTAAAGTTTCAATAGTTACCAGATGAAATGAATTTATTAAAAGAGTCATTATATATATCATTGTTGTAATTTGTTAATTTTAAAAGTTTTTTTTTGAAAGGTAAAAGCTAGTAAGATTTATTTTTGAAATTTAGCCTATTTGAAAATGATTAATGAAATAATTGTAAGTTAGTAGGGTAAACGGGTATCAAAATTTTTAAAGTTTAATTGAGAGTATTTAATTCATGTATTATTGTTAATTATTGTTGTTGTGTTATTCTTTTAAATGATTAATTACAGCTCGTTTCTCTCAAATGGCGTGTTGTTCTTGAACCTCCATCCATGGTTCTCATTTTGTTAAGTAAAGTTTTGTGGGCCGCTCCTCGGGCCTGCGCATGGATCACGCTTCCATTTCGTTAGTCTGGGTGCAGGCACGAGGGCATGGTTCACATAGCACTATAATGAATTATTATATGCCTACTGAATATATGAGATGTTTCCTGAGGAATATCTCAGCAAATGCTAACAAACTAGTTGAGAACAAATGTTTAACAAATCTTGAGTAAAAACATACTCTAGGTAAGGGCCAAGTTTTCCTTTTGGACGGAGATTTCGACAGTTTCTTCTTCTTCCACATTGCTCACAAGCGTAAATGTTATACTTTGCACTCACAGTAATACACTAACACATCTTTCACAAAAGTTTGAACCGCACTACAGTAAACGAATACATTTTCAACACTACGATGTACAAAACAGGTAACGTAAAACTCAAAACCAACAAAGAACACTGTCAATAGCAACACACCTTCAGAACCACTCCTATGGTACAAACAGTGTGAGTTCTAAGTGTCTTATCAGTAAGGTAAAGGTAGATAGTGATGTCTATGACCAATACCTACTTATCATAAGATTGTTTTGATCTGAATGTATATCAACAATTGACACACTTTTAAAATTCTTTAAATATGCAATTATTTTGGATGCAATGTTGGTTAAGGGATAAGTGTAAAAAATATGTTAGGAGGAAGGCGTATAATATTTATAGACTGATGTTTATAAAATACCGTAATTCAAATCAGTTTCAAGTTTACCAACAAGTGTTTTTTGTAAACGCAATTCAACACAAGTCAATAGATCTACGTAGATTGACAGGTAAAAATATTTCTCCAATGATAACAGACAGTCACCATAACTACTTTTCTGTATGTTGTATGTTGTGTATGATGTAATATTACAATATAAATGTAAGTCACGTGAGTATTTCAACTGCAGTCATTAATGATTGAACCAGTATTGGCTAGCCTCATTCCAAAATTCTGTCATAAGCTACCATTTCTTCTTCTTCTTCTGGGGAACAATACACTAAACTCTACAGGATGTTATAGGCTATAAATAAACATCCTGTTTCCTAACCATAATGGTTGTATCTGTAATTTCAACTAAAGAACCCTTCAGTTCTTCAGTTCTTTAAGTTACTGTAAATAACGATGGATTTGGAGATTATCAATTAATACAAAAAGTATTAAAATAAGAATTTTTTCATTGACTCTTGCCTACGACTGTAATTTATTTCACTGAAAGTATTTGACTTAACCCTGTTTTGGGTTGATTTGTGAAATTTCTATTGTCAATACTTAAGAAAAAAAGGGGATAAGTGTAGGACTTCAACTTTTTAGTTTTTAGGGATTGCCTGTTTTAACCAAACTTTTGAGTTATCTAGGTCCGGTGCCGTTAGGGTCGGTTAACAGGGGGTCTACTGTATATAGAATAAAGAAAGAATTTTTTATAAGTCATAAGTCATAAGTTCTTTATTCCAGAATTACAAAATTACATTGCAGTGGAATAGTCAAGTTTATAATGAAATGTACAAAAGATAAAATATAAAAAAACTCTACCAATTTTACGGATGAATAAATATTTAGCTCCTTATTAATAGGGGATTGCCCATGAACACCAGGTAAAATTGAGGGGCTCTCCAATATTGCTTAGGACATACCACTTGCTAATTAACATGTTTCGGTTTTGGAAACATCGTATTACTAAGAATTGTCTAAATTGGTGTTTTTCAAGGATAGCAGAAATATTGACGAAATAGAGAGTCAACAGGAATGTTAGTAGGATCGGACCATTTTATCCAGTAGGGACAACCACAGATGCGTGCTTGTAAACTAAGCTAAAGGAGGAAGAAAAGCTCATTCAGTGGAAGGATATAATTCAACCTAATCAATATTATTTTGAGTGTAATTTTGTACATTTTCAGATGGCAAATGTGTTGGGTTTTACTGTACCCAACAATGCAAATTAAACTTTATTGTTCATCCAGCATCAACGATACCTTTATTTCCCCCTGGCCTTCATCACAGCAGGACTGAAGATCTTTAAGCAACAGCTGGTACTTGGTTATCCTCTGGACAGGTTTGATCAGATAGGCAGCTATCGGATGTTCAACTCGATGTTTCTTCTGCAACTCTTCAAATATCGTGCCTCCGTGCTGCACCAGCAGTGAGTTGGACTCGGGCTTGTTCTTGCAGTACTTGACGTACATGTCGAACTTGAGAGCCTATAAGGAGATGGTCAATTTAGCAAATATGTTATTATTCAAGGAACAACATGGCTGAAGAGGATGAACATTGTGTAGAAATACAAGAATATACAAGGGTTGTCCGTAACTAACGTCTCAAACAAACTTTCGTAACGACCAAGCTAGAGCTAGATCCTCTAAAACTCTAGCTGGTTCCCACCCTTGATTACATCATCAAAGCCCAACCGAAATAATGATTTTTTGACTCATGCTGGTAAAAAATTTTAGAGATATGATAAACACTTCAATTTATTGAATACCTAATATGTTTCCATTACAGTTGTGCAATCAAAAGTGTGACTTTAAATTTTCAAACCCTTTATAAGTTAAGGTGTTCAAACTTTTTACTGAGCCCTTGGTGTTAAAATTATCCAAGTTCCATCATACAAATCCTTATAACTGGAATTGATTCAGAGCTTATCCTCTTACCCAGGTAACAAAACAATGTCCCACATCTTCTGGCATCGTCTCGTACTTCTCGAGCTCCTTCAGAAACACATCCCGGTGGAAGTCCCGGATGTCCTCGATGTTGCCAAAGATGATGTGTTCCTTGCCCAGAATGCCCGGAGGAACATTGCTGTGACCTCTCATCTCCTCCAGAAACACCTTGATGCAGATGTCTAAGTCTTTCACGTACGTTCGTTCGGTTTGTAGCAGTTCGGCCATTATAAATCTGCAAAAAATCAATTATAAATAAACGTAGCCTATATCAAATCATTATATCAGTCAATTAAAACAACAACACAATGTTGTTTTTTTACCTAAATATGAGTGAAGGAATGATATGAGAGTGGCTGTATTTATGGCTATTACACCAACAGTATCTTAAAACAGAACGATTTATCAAAAACCCAATGCTCAAGGGCAAATGAGTCTAGTTTGAAACCATAAAAAAGCAAGAGACTTTATCCTTGAACTGGGAATCTACTGCATTACATCCACTCAAGTCATGTTTCATATCGCATCATATATGAAAGTTCCCAAAACAATGCTTACCTGACAAAACACGAAAACAGTATAACTGCTTTTACTTTTTTTACAGTAAAACATGTTTTTACGCATAAGAAATAGTGCATTTATCTTTAACAGATTAGAAAAATCAAATCAATGGTCTTTTACCAGTGGATTCACAGATATACTTGATATAACTCTCCTATTGACTGCATAAGTCGATATAGTTTTACTTACTCTTTTCTTCTTGCAGATCTTCTCTTTTCTTCATTCAACTCTTTGAGATCTTTGGTTGAGTCTTTCACTTTGGATTCAAGCGAAGGGTCTGAATTTCTATCGATTGAAAGCTCTTGTCTACTTTCTGCTTCAGCCTGGATTCCCAATGTTCCTTCTAACTGCGATCTAAAAAGGTACGTTTATTATAAGTCAATGTTTCTACCTATAGTTTATAGTTATGGCTGATTATACCAGTGAATAAAGTAAAAAGTCTATCTCTATTCTAAGAAGAAGTTATCTTATGTTTGTACGAAAAATCAGTGTTATGGATCTTTTTTTTGTGTATCAGCCCCTGGACAAAACCTTTTCTGATATAAACAAGCTGAAATCTACTGATTCTATTAGGGAGGATGTTTAATATCACATTGGAAGAGGTAAATAAAGTTTTAAATAAGGCCGATGAACTAGAGTAAAAAGTAGAGGTCTCGTAAATGAGCCTTGAGGGACACCTCAAAGTCAATAAGTATGTTACTAAATTGACAATCATTTCCAATCATCTCACCTGTACTTGTCCATGCGGCAGCTGAAGTCTTTGTACCGGTTGTCCACCGCAGCCACCCATTGTTTGATGGCCGCTGCGTGAGCATGACCCTTCTCCACCAGACTATCGGCCAGCTGTATCAGCAGCTTCACTCGCTCTCTCGTCTCCTTCGCCGACGCCTTGAACTCATTGTGTTCTACGAGCAGCGACTCTGTCTCATCCTTCCAACAAACATCTCCTTGAGTATTCATGGAAATATTGCTATATAAAATATAGATCATGAGTCGGGCCATCTACGTCATCCACATCACCTGTTTACAGTAGTGCCCCTGGACATAAGACGGCACACGGTATGCAACACAATCTTTATGGTTAGAAACAACCCATCTAGTGCTGCGATTTCCTTGACCTATTAACTGCTTTATGTGAAATGTTATATTGAGTGGGCAGCCAAAGCAGTTATAGTGCTCGCCTTCAAATCTGAGCTTCGCTGGTACGATTTTTGCCTTTACAACGACAAACCAGTCGTTGATACAACAAAAAACTTATATGGTTTGGCTATATATTGGACAGAATCTGTCTTTGGCCTATCATTTGATGATGCTATTTTTTGACAAAAAGTCAATGTTAGACCAAAATTTGGAATGTCCCTTTACAAAAAACCTAAAAAATGTCAATGCTGTTGATAAATGGAATAAGAAAAGACGTTTAGTAGCATACTTTCGTAGTTGTAGGGCAACAGTTGCACATCCTTTATAGCCACAAATAATGATAAGAATAATTTAGGTTGGTGACTAAATTTATATACATAGACTTTGGTTTGGGTCTTCAACTTAATATATTGTCACTATGAATACATTTAACTTTTTGAAATTCGGCAAACATACAATTTTTTAATAAATCACTTATAAACATGAAAAGCAGAAATATTAAGGGCAAATAATAATATTGAATAAGCTAACCAATTGAACCATTGCTTAAATTTTCATGTAACTGGACTTCAGTGTTGTGCAAATAACATTTGAAAAAAATACAGTCAAACAAGAATATTCAATAGAGATACTTTATTTTACAAAATTTCTAGGGATGTAAATATTGATTAAAAACTGCACTAATTACACACCTTGTTTTGCTTCCTAACAAAATACTTGTAATAAATATGTTTGACGGGAGCGGCTATTATGTTGCCCATAACTGTGATGCCTAACCACATTATAGACTGGTGAGCCTATACAGTGTACTGAGACTTCATTAATGTATTCATTCCTGCCCACACTCGTAGCAACTTGCGACACTCACTGCTATATATCACTAGGGCTCAGGTGCCCACACTGCTTATATACACAATACAGGTGTGCAGCATACCATGTGTGGGTTATTTGTGTGTAGCTAATATAACTGGATGTTAGGAGGCGTTCATACATATTCTAGGTGTTATTTCTATACTAACTTTATCGGTTCATTATAAACCCCCACCACAGCAAAACTGTAGACTAAGCGAATTCCCATTTGCCTGATTGGACAATCACTAAAGTATTTCCTCAACGATTCTAGATTTATTCCCTACTAAAATAGCATTAATTTCGTCAATTTATCGTGACTGAAATGTCGCCCTGTCAGTAATAGTGTTACGTAGTTCTTCTGGAATGAAAACAGTATTTTGTGAAACCACTTCACGTTCTTTTAAGATAAAAAAAGGGTTTTCCTTGAAATCGTTTTCACATTTGGTGATGAATTACTGTGTCAATGATTCTTGCCTGATTGGATTTTTACTTTAAATTTCCTTAATCTTTTCAGATTGATTCCCTATTAAAAATAACATTAGTTTAAACTAGTACTTGGGTTTGCTGCTCAGTCTGTTAAAGGGATGGTAATAAATTGTGTTTTTTATTTTTAGATGTTAATAGCTAGTATAAAATTTAAAATAAATAAATTCCAAACAATTTATGGTTGATTAGTTAAAGTTAAGATCACAAGAACGGAAAAACATTTCTCACATCATAAAACTGAGACAAATCACAACTGGAGACGTCGTACCAAACAGCAGTTTTACCCATCTTCACTTAACACCATCACAACACAAAACACCCTACACACGACACGCACCCCTACTGTCTGGACCTACACATTTGGCACTACAGTCTAGGGCCGCTAATTTGGCACTGGCCACAATGGTAATTACTGCACCGTCTATAAATAAGCAGTACATCACCTTCCCAATGTTTACGTGATCTTGAGGATTTAGTTGCAGTTAATTTCTGTGGTGATGCAGTAAAGATAAAGTAAGAGATTATTTGTGGATCCATGTAAATAGGTGTAACAAACAGCTGGACCAGTTATATGTGCGGAGGAATACTAAAGTAAACTTCTAGTAATGTGTTAACACAACAAAATCTTTATATTTTTGTTTAGGTTACAAAATCTGGAAAATTTATTTAAATTATCGTACCTCCTCAGAAATATTATTATAGCGGCTCACCCACTGTTTTTGAGAATACTATATATTAATAGGCAAGCTAGTTTCTTGAAAACCTTTTTTCTCAGCTTGTGTGTATCACAGGGAAAATCATTATTCATGATGAATAAAGATGTTTGAATATGAATATAATTATGCATACTGTTTGAAAGATAATTTCCTGCAGATGTGTAGAGTCGCTTTATAAATTAAAATAGGCTGAAAAATAAGCACAAAAATACAAAGTTAATTTAAAAAAATTAACATCAAATTTTTGGGTTCTTTGAAGTATTTATTTCAATCAAAAGTCAAGGGGAAAATTTTGTCAAAAGACATACCTAAGTTTAACTTTTTTTGTTACTGAGAAATTTAACATGAGTAAGTAATTCTTTATATTTATGTATGAAAAAACTTTTCACGACATAACAAATTTAAAGACAAATACAACTCTTTTGTGATCTCTTTTAACTGAACAATGCTGTTTTCAGTTTATGTTTCCGAGCCAAATGGTGTAAGCTGAATAACGAGCGTGACTACTCAGCCAAAACAGAAGCACTGCCAATGTTCAATTACTTTCAATTTTGTTGAGTGCAAGTCTGGTAGTCAAGCTTTTACAGCCAGCGAGTTTTGAACATCCATGTTTAAAGAGCCAATGGGATTTATTTTTGTGTTTGTTTTGTAATTTTTTTGACATACAGTAGACTCCCTCTTATCCGGACAGCTTTTTAACCGGACCACACTCGGTAGAAGTGACATCTCTTTATCCGGATAATTTTTAACAGCACATTGGTTTAACCAGACTAGATTGGCAGGAAGTGGGCGGTACTGAAACGACTGTTCTCGTGGGAAAGATTTGAGACCAGTGATTATGAGTCTAAATACAATGCTCTCCTAATTTTAAGTCAAATACTGTATAGAGTATGCATTTAAACGGTCCGTTTTAATGAGATTTTGGGACGTCGGTTTATCCGGAAAAACCGTTATCCGGACTGGCCTTGGTCCCGAGGAGTCCGGATAAGAGGGAGTCTACTATATTCATTTTTAGAATTTTTAAAGGAACAGTCCAAAACTTGGTCTTGTTACTATCAAACATTAACAGTTTTTTAGATAGCACGATTAAAGAGACCAAATTAGCATCTTGGTTCAGAACCGATTCTGCTTGGAAAATCAAACCAACAAACTAAAGACGAGATCTATATACCACTCAGCTTTAGACATTTGTGGAAGGTTGGAATTTTAACCCGAATACCCTGAACAGAAGACCCACCCTCTAGTATGACAAACCAATGAAACCAGGCTCTATAAGTTACACTAGCTGGGTTGCTTAGTGGTTTTAGTGATCACCTAGTAATCAACGGTCGCCGGTTCAATACTGAGAAAAGTGTGTACAATCCTGAGAAACAGGAGAAAACAGTAACAAAGATACACAGGGCATCTCACTCCATTTTACACTCATCCTTCACTCATATTTGGGTTAAAATACGCACCTAGATTGTGTCCAATTGATAATAATAATATAACTAACCTGGGTTGCACCGACGCTTGTGTGCGTGGACAGGTAATGTTCACCAGTCTCATGTATCCACTCCATGGCTTGCTGCGCCGAGCGCTCAAACAGCACAAACTGCTGACATTGGTCCAGCCGCTTCTTGCGCTCGCTCCAGTGTTCCAGCACTCGATTCTCCTGGCTCAGCAGCTTGTCTGTGATTGCTGTCAAACAGAAATACTACCTTAGAACTGACAACTTATTTAACTGGCCAAAATCCTCTATTCTGACAGATCTTTTGAAATTAGGCCTTTAAACCTAATGTTCAAAGGCTAAATGACCCATAAGCTATGTTGTAAAATATTCGTTACGGATTCTACAGTACACGCCTCACTAAAATTGAGTGTTTTAGGATGATTTCCAGGTGACTTACCAACGGATAATTAACGTGTAGAATATTATTAACATAATCATGGTTTCAGATGAGCGAGTAGAATATCTTCTAATATTTAAATGCAAGTTATTTAGTGGTAGTTGTATAAGAATAGTTGAAGAAAGACCCTTCATTTTTACCAAATAACCATATTGATACATGGTATATTTTCTTTCTACATTTTAATTTCTCACCTTTGACTCTTGTCTCTGAGCTGGCCTCGGACCCGCTGTAATTGTAGTACTGCAGACTTCGGTTGGTGTACTTGAGGAACGTCTCTGCAGTGCGGCGCGCCAGCGTGCACGCCTTCAGGAACGCCTCCTTCTGCTCCTGGTGTTTGTTGACCAGCTGTCCGATGTTCACTCCACTGCTGGCACCGCCTCCGCACCAGTCCTCGTCTCTCTTGTACTCCCTCTCTAGGCTATCCAGCACACTGCACACCTGCGGACAAACAATTTTTTTAAATTTTATTTGTGTTTCAACGTCATTGGTATTAAAAAAAAATATATATTTCTAATAAAATAATTTAAATTTAGATGATGTTACTGTCTAGAGGAGCGAGCTAGTCTAGTGGTAGAGTGCAGGACTTCAGTCTATGAGGTCTGGTGTTCAAATTCCACTGAAAACCAATGTATTTATCAAAGTGATACCCTAGGCTTTGCATCCTAGGGCAAAAAAAGTCTAACATCAAACATTTGTTATAGATTGATGGCTCAATGAAAAATGAATTCTGAATCCAGAATCAATCTTAAAACTGAATCAACAACCTCAAGATTGGGAGTTTAAACACCATAACCTCTTGGATACCAATATAATTTGACCCCCCGATAAGTGAACCACAACAAAACGTTTGCTCTAAACTATCTAATCATAGAAAATTTTCACTGGATTGACAGGATTGTAATGTTGACTATCAGGACTGATGTCCTTCACTCTTACAAAAAGTTGGTATAAAATGTTATGACTTTCTACATTTCTCGTAACGTTTTTAATTGGTGGAATTTTAAATACTGTTAAAGAAAACCACTGATTATAAACCAGCTTAAATATATTACGTTTGTTAAATTTTTTTCAGAGGAAAATGTTACATTCTATAAATGAAAATACTGCTAGTAATATTCTTTGCAGAAATAACCAAAAGTATAACTTACTTTTGAAATAAAAGATTTTTTCGGCTGCATTACTTTTGAAATGATTTTAATCCTAGTTAATGATAATACACATCACACAATAAAGAAATGTTATCTGCCCAATGAAACACTAAAATATAAGGTGTTTTAACAGCTGTGCAAATGGCGTGTAAGTAAACATCATTACATTTTCCCATTCGTGTTCGATCTGTTTCAACTAAACCCGAATGATAACAGTGTACAAACAAACACGGCTCCTCACAAGTTCAATGTACGCGTAAGTAAACTTATATGAACTCAAAAGATTTTACTTGTAAAGTTCAACATTTTAAAAGGGGATATTTTTTTCTCGCACATATATTATTTTCATTAGGAGCTTTCAAGTTCAAATGCTTTATTTGACAAATCAACATAGCTATAATGCAATTACCGGTATCATAATTCCAAATTATATGAATTAAGACATTTTCAGCAATTTATGTAAGTGTTCAGTAACAAATAATTTTACTGACCCCACCTCTATGATTGCAGGATTATATAAATGACAAAACAATTGTATTTTTTATTATCAAAAACAAACCAATATGTAAATATCATGGGGTGATGTTTCAGTAGGTTTAATTTATTCTATTGTCAGGCTTCACACAGAGAATCCAATAGTAGTCTTGTCAATCATACATTTAAAGAGTGATTTACACTCAGCACATTCAAAACAGATATGCAATTTATATTTCATTTTAGATGTATACACCGCAAACAATTGAATTTGAATTTTTTTATTTAAAATTGTTATTTGACGTATTTCCCAGTGGCAAGAACTAGAATATTTAATTATTGAACTGTTGTTACCTTTGCCTTTGTTCTTGCAGAAAGGTGTTAAAATCCTCCTCATTAAAAATAGTTGTTGTTTTGAAATAATAAAATATTTAACAAGCTTACATGAGTAACCTAAATTAGGAAAGTTTATTCAAGATTGTGAGGGTAACTTTTTATTTCACGGATAATAATAAATTTTCGACTCCCACTTATTTTCTACCGTCATCATAATCTAATAAATCATACATTAATTTATGATTAACTAATATAAAACTATGATTATACATCTATACTCTGTGAGATGGAACCTGACTCTCTATCTACCTGGACACTAGCCAATGGTTTATAACCCAGGTCAGTCCTAGGTAATCGGAGGGGTAGGAGACAGGTTCCATCATACAGACTATAACTTTTAAGACACGAAACACATGAAAAAGTCAATTCTGACATTATGAACATAAATTAGGGCTACTTAAGTGAGATTTTCAAAGTCAGTGCAGTATAAGCAATTGTTCCAAACCGGTGTTCTGATGCCAGATTTTAGGCAGATTTATCTTGTTAAAATATTCTCTTGAATCAGTGTTCAGATAAAAAAATATTATTTAAGCCAACATTATTTTAACACTGATTCTGAGGAAGGGCCTAAGAACGTAAATAAAGTCATAGATACAAAGCATATTCCACAGTTCTATATTTCCACGTAAATTCCAGTATTTATAGACTTTTCAGCTGACCTGTTCGGCAGTCTTGTAGAAGTTGAGGCTGGCAGTAACGAGTTTGTGTCTTTCCTCAGCGCAAGTGACCAGCTGTTGCCACCGTTTGGTCACCTCCTCACTGATGTCCCTGATACCAGCTGGGTCGTAGTGATTGGCGTTGACTAACGCCTCCGCTCTGTGCTTCACTTGCACTGCTGACGTGTGCGTCTTCTGTAAAATAAGATAGGATAGGATTAATAAATTGATAACTTTGTTTTGCTGCAAATTATCACTGTAATCCTGTATACAGCTCAGGAAACCTGTACAGAAGAACAGATTTTGTGGTGATGATAAGAAGTAGGAGAATTTTGTACATGTGAGAAGAAGAGAGGAGGATGCGAAAATAAGGGTGTGGAGAGGTGGACCAGAAGGAAGACCAAGATGAAAATGGGGTGACTACATGACTGGAGATGTAAGAAGATATGGGGGAGAAGTGGACATGGTGAAAGACAGATGAGTCTGGAGGTAATTTTTTGGCAAAAAATAAACTTGGATTTGAGTGGCCGCAGGAGTAAGAGAACACTATAATTGTAACTTCCAGCTAATAATAAGTAAGAATAAAAAGTAAGGTCGCAATTTTGATTCTCTCAGTCTTCTAATGGAGCTTGTTGAAGAATCACGTGACTGGTCGAAATCAATCACCTTTGACACATCGATCATATCTACGTTCTTGTAAATTATTACAGTGTAAGTGCCTATAAATGGAAGAGTGTTAAAGAATATATTTTATTGTATTGGTGTAATCAGCAAAACATTGACATCCTACTGCGTAGTTAACTGGAGTAAAAATCAGTTAGGAGTAAACTTTAAGCAAAGGAATTGGTGCACAACTAAATCACATAAGAAATATGGTTCAGTCAGATTGTAGCACACACTACAATTAACTTCTCCAATCAATAATTGTTAAATGAAAACACAGGTTTGAAGCCATATTTAAAAAATAAAAAATAAACAAGTAAAACAAAACTCAAGATATAAAATTCAAGGAGAAATCCAATATTTTTTTAGTTTTTACAAATGATGATAGTTTTACCTCAATGGCCACTTGGAACTGTTCGTGTTCTTTTTTCAGCTGTTCCGCTTCCGGTAAACAGCTGGGAACTGTGAAACTGGCCATCAACATCGCCTCACCATTGCGAATCCAGCTGACGACCTGGTGTAGGACATCACAAATAAAATACAACATTGTAAAACCCACTGTAGCAACACTATCAGAAACTATACACTAATTTAAACATACATAGAAATATTCTAAACATTTATATCACTTATAAAAAATTTATAATTTAACTGGTTGAGAATAATAAAACACATGTCTATTGTAACTCTCTCTTGCACACAACTTCATGGTTATAAGGAAATATCCTTGGCCAAGAACATTGATAAGCAAACAACAGCTGATAAGTGAGAAATGACTAACACTGTTTGGATGGACCTATCTGATCGCTATCTGAAGAGGGGGAAATATATACTATTAAAAATGCTAATATTTTGAAGTATTGTTTCTGTTGCTACACAGGGTAGGCAATAGTGTGATGTATGATGACAAATGTATGATCCAAGTTGTACATACCATGGCGTAGCTATGCACAGACTTAGAAGGTCGTTAATACGTACAAACTATATTTGTATCCAATTTCAACACTGCCAACTAATTCCTAAAGTAAGAATTTTATATTGTACAGTACCATCTTTAAATGTGTACTGAGGGTTAAATTAACCGTTTGAATCTAAATTGTATGACACAACAACTGTCAAATAAGGCGTGTCTTTAATAATTCTTCAATAACAATGCTAATTGCATGTCCATCTGAGGAAAAATAATCTTTATCCGCCATCCTAAAAACTTCAATAATATGGTCCTCAATAATCCAGACCCTCAGGCATTTGGCTTAACCCCTAATCCAAAAAAAAATGATAGCCTAACAGTTATAACATGAAATTTCATATCTAAGTACAGTACAATAAATAGCACAATATTTCTGGGCGTGACGTCAATCATACAATTCCAGACAAGCACATTACCTGGTTGGCGTCGGCTCTGAACTGACACAACTGCACACACTGCTCCAGCTTGACTCTCTTCATCTCCGCAAGGTCCTCCAAGTCCATCTCTCTCTCATGTAGGAACTCTAGCAGCACCTGTACCCTGGTCTGGGCACTGTACTGACTGTCTGCCATCAGAGACACTCCGCTGGTCTCAAACACCTGCAAAACACAACACGGGATTGGTAAACCGCCTCAGAGATTAATTACCATCAGGGAAATGTGCCTCAGAGGTGTATGGCCATCAGAAAAAGGTGACTCAGAGATGCATAGCCATCAGAAAAAGGTGACTCATAGGTGTGTGGCCACAAGAGAAAGGTGACTCAGAGATGCATAGCCATCAGAAAAGGTGCCTCAAAGATGCATAGCCATCAGAAAAAGGTGCCTCAGAGGTGTATGGCCATCAGAAAAAAGGTGACTCATAGGTGTGTGGCCATAAGAGAAAGATGCCTCAGAGGTGCACAGCCAACAAAAAAGTTACTCTTAGGTGCATGGCCATAAGAGAAGCCACTTCAAAGGTACTTGGCCCCTTAAGAAAAACCCAAATAAAAATTTAATTTGGGGTGGTAAAGTTTGTGTCTAAAATAAAAAGCAAAGTATACTATAATCATAACTAAAGTCGTTATTACATGAATAAATGGAAAGGATTAAAAAACTTATAAAAAGCACCACGATAAATAACCAGCTTTGAGCTTGTCTTCCCTGAATTTAGAAAAGCTGGCAGGATACTAATACTATCTCTCTTTCACACAGCTGTCTATACAAGGAATGATTGCTGAAGTACCTGAGCCAGTTCCTGTCCCTGCTGCAGCACTTGGAAGGTAGTGTTCTGCATGTGCGTGATGCTCTCATTGTGTAGCCTCAGCATTGTCTCGGCCTTCTGCATGTCATTGGTGAGGTCACAGTGCTCCAGCTCAGAGGCCCACAGTTCCAGCCTGGAGGACACCTGTACACACACACGTGTTATATACAGAATACGACTGAATTGGTTCTCATAAGATTATTAAAGTTTAAAAATATATATTAAAACAAACTCTCTTATACACTTAAACCTTGTCTTTGGGCGGCGACCATGTCCCAAGTAGCACCTCAAAATTGATCAAATGTTGAAACAATATTGACTACAATATTGAGACAATATTGTTATGCAACTTGACAAATATTGTTTAACTGGCAAAAGCACTAGCCCAGGTTTGGGATGCGTTGAAGCAAAATCCATCTTTGGTCCAAGCAACAATTTAAGTTTAGGTTCAATTGAACTGTAAATTCCTTACAGATAGATTTGTGACATCTGAAATGTCAGCTAGTATTTTTGTCTGCTCATCTCCAGAGTACAAAGATTTGACTGCCAACTTTGATTGTCTGATTGTGAAGCCGCTTTCTCTCTCATAGATTGGTTATCTTTCAATTAGCGGAAATAACGGAGTGGTTCTTCTTATATTTTATTTATTTTTCAATGAATTTTAAAATAAAACGATCGTTTTGCATAGTAAGTATGTGAAGAATTAATTGGATTAATCGTGATTATTTACTCTTTGAAAAATATTCTCTCTGTTTTTAATTGGTTTTAAACATTTAACCAAAAACATAAAATATCAAGAGTTAATTTGTTGTCTAATTTTTCCCCTCCACCATAAGAGAAAAATAATTGTAAAAGTTCATTCTGCTAATGCTTCTAACTGAAAATAATCCCAAAGACAGTAACTCACGTGTAACCGATCGCCACACAAAACAACACGAACAATAACAGTAAATAATGGCTTGTGTCAGTATGATATAAGGCACACTTGCAGGCGAACGCAAGAAGAATTGCAACAAACTGGTTTGTTAATTCCGACCAGTTTGAGTGGGGAGAGGTCGCTGAAGTGATGGTTCATCAACAACATAAAGGACAAATTTATCAAGCATCTGATTAATTGCGACAAATGAGCACAGAACTGGACCCGTTCTCATGACTCTGTGTTGCCCTTACATTTAAAAGAGTTGCTAATTAATTATGTCTTTGACAAATGTTTTGGAAACTCTACAATCTACATAATGAAAATATTAATGATGAAGACTGTTGTAAATCCCAAATAATGAGTTCTTTGTTGCATTAAAGCGGTATTAGCCTATAAAAGAATAACAAATAAAACATTGTTAGTAGGGAAGTTTGTAAAATTAATTTTCTAGAGATGAAGAAAAATTATTAATTAAAAAAGTCCAATTTGCTCTTATTGTATAGAAGATTTAATAATAATTTTTTTATGGTCTGTGAGGTAAAGCATAATTAATTATTTGTTTAACATGCCCCTAAAGTTACGTCTTACTGCAATAAACATGGCTACCTTTAATACATGTATTGTGGTGCTATATATATAAATATCCCTTTATCAATATTTAAACAAACTTGAATATTAAAAATCAGTAAATACATATGAAATTATATTGAAATAAAGAGTCAAGCTGTTCGTATGTGTGTTTTGTTTTTTAAATAGGATGGAAACGATTTTGGGAGCTAACTTATAAAGGTAATTCATATAGCAAATTTACATTTTATGGATTATTTCACCTAAAGGATGACACAGTACGACAAAAAAAAATAGTTCAGGAAAGAATCCATCCTAAAATTGATCCCTGGGGGATAATACCTTGAGGTATTGGTTCTCTTTGAGAAAGTATTCCATCAATTTCAACACACTAAGAACGATCTGTCAGGTAAAAAACTAACAACTTTGACACGGAACTCTGCTAACTGGTGCAAAAGTATCTCAACGCTTTTGCGAGGTCAAGAAAAAATAAGCTAAGCGCACATCCTTGACTCCTGAAGCCATCGACAACTATTTCATAGAGATTGCATCAAGAGTGAATCTCTCTCTCCTGAAACCAACTGATTTGCTGAGTTGATGTCAAAGCGTTCCATTCTTAATTTTTTTGAGCAAAACTGTTGAAAATAGTTGATAAATTAAAGCAACATTAGTTTAGCTATACATCCAAAAGATTTCAAAAGCAAGAACTTTACCTCTAAAGCATCCCTCTCGAACAGCCGCAACCTGAGACACAGGTCCAGCCTGAGTTTGCGAGTGGCCCATAACTCTTCCAGCTCCTCTCTCTGTTTGTTGAGTCTGTCCAGAGCAGATTCTACTGCAGCCACTGAGCCTGTAGAGTCCATCTCTTGTGTCAGTCCGATACTCCTATAACACAACATCACAAATAAAATAAACTGTCAGTCAGCAATCTGACACATTCTCCCATTAGCTTGTCAACAACCCCTCTATCATGGGTAAGCGGTGGGAGCAACTATGGTATTTAATGGGGAAAATAACAAAAGTTGAAATAACTTTCAAACCAAGATTTTTACACGAATGGGGGTTGTGCCATTTTATCATAGTTTAGAGAAGCACAAGATAATAGAGATTTTGAACAAAATGTTAGGCTTGTTTTTGCAAAAATATTATTTTTCAACACACTGATATCACTTTTAAAAGCATTATTAATTGTGATAGAGAGGTTGTGCGGAAAATCAGGCAGTTCTTAAGTAATTTAAACAAAATGTTATCGCTATAAAAAAATGACTGAAATTTGTAAACGTACTGGCGACAATGGGTAGTACCGTGCAGACTGCATTATCATTGAGGAAGATCAACATGACCAGACAACCTAATGCGGCTATAGTGGGAAATATTTGTAGAATACACTAAAAAACCAGATCAGCTTTTGAAAAATGATAAAATATTTACAAGAAATGTTGATTGTATGGAACTGTTAGGTACGTAATCTATGAGTATAGTCTTTTAAACTCATCGTAAATTATGACTTTTATTAGTTTTTAAATAAGTTATGTGTTTTTAAATAAGTACTTTACTTCTTTGCAATTGCTCGATTTCGAGCAACATGTACACTAGTTCATTGATTATTTGACATCAAACAATTTTCCAGATAAATAGTCAAGTCAAAGGTTTTTTTATAAAAAAATTGTATGAGAAAACTTAAATCAATAATTTACATTATTATAACTAAATTTACTTAACCACTGAACTGCAACCAAAGTCTAAAAATTTCTATTCTGGGCAATTACATCAGTTGAGTTACAGTGTACAACATTAAAAATGAAGTAAAATCAAAACAACCTGATGAAATAGAAAGTTTTAAAACCCTACTTACACAGGCTTCCGACATCTTCTCGAATTCAAAGGACGTATTTTAATCCTGCCGTCTCGATAACGTCGATGCATCATATTTGTTGACAAAACACTTTTCAATGTCTCATAACAACTTTCACAGTTTAATGCATATATTTGACGGTAAATATTTTGATTCAATCAAGATGATGTTCAGTTTCTTTCACTGGGTAAAAAAATATTCAGAATATAATTTTTTCAGATTCTTTTGCTAATGGCACTAAAGTTTATACCAAGTTATACCTACTTGCCCTTTTTCAAATGCATAAAATACTTTTAACAATACTGAAACATCTGCATGTTGATGATGTTAACCATTTACACTAATCCAGTAAAAATATATTTTATGCAAGGCGTTTTAGAACAAGGAACCTGCTCATCAATGCCACAAACACATAACAAAATCAACACCACGTTGAATAAAATAGCTGCAGTCAGCTTTTGAAAGACAGAAATGAATTTTAAATACCCGCAGAGTCGCATTGCCTCGAGCATATGTTCTCAAACCTAAGACAATGGAGGCATTTTAACCTTTCAGTTTCACCATTAAACTTCGCAATACAAAAATGTTAAAATGATTTAAACATTTATATACAAAACATTCTAACTATCATAATTTTGTTGGTTTGTTTATTTTATTGGTAAAGGCACCGAATATTAAGTGTCTCCGTTTCTATTGATGTACCTGATTAATGATTAAAACTGTTTAACGCACACTAGAGGCAAGACAGAATAATGTGGATATAAAAATAAATAAATAAGCTAAGTTAACTATTGTAAGCAAATAAACATTCAAATCGACATACATTCTAGTAATATTTTACTGTACTGTCGTACATCAAACATAAATAAATAGACGAGCCAGTTTTAAGTTTTCCGCAAAAGCCTATTATCCATAAAATGTACTAAAATGAATTAAATTTAGGAGATACAATTGTCAAATAAAGCTTTGTGTTATAAAAATGTAAAATTGAAACAGCGACTGTTTTATATGTTTTAACTTCACACAACTTTCTTTGTTACTTGCATACGCATTTTTATAGATTGCATCTCTATATAGTTTGTAAATTAGCACCAGGCCATTTCAAGGAGGCCAGTTGGCCATGTTATTGACCATAACTGGACACACAGTCCACTTACTGTCCAGACTCTCACAAGGCCAAGGGCTTCCTAGAACAGTGATTCTCCTTAGTAATCTTCCTCGTAAAAACTGGACCACTGGACCGAACCGCATAAATAGTTCTCAGAAACCATCTACTGCTCGTCATTTACAATCAAACACATTGCTCGGGAGATACTTAAATTCGTACAAAAATTATTGTTAATAACGAATAAGTTTTTTGCCCAATTGAAAAAGAGGGGTTTAATGCATTTTAATGTATACAAAGGAATTACGTTTCGGTGTTTTCCAAAGCAAACCTGATAGAAGCTTCTTAAAGAGAGTGTTATTCTGAGTTAGAAGGCAAACCGTGTACATTGTAAACAGAAACGCGAATTTCAGCTTTAGCTCAAACAATAAAGCCTTACAGTCTCACCTTTTTGTTAAAAATGCTGAATTAAAAGCGTTAGAAGAGAACTAGTAGCTTTAAGTTTTAGATGGATAAATATTTCAAGTGTAGGCCTACCATAAATCGTATGAAGAATAAATACATCCTTTGCTGGTTAAAATATATTTTTTACAATGCAAATACTGTATAAACAGTTATTTCTTACAATAATAAAAAATTGTATGTTAAAAGAGAACATCATTAGAAATTTAGCTTAATTCCATCGTTTCTTGATTTATTGGTCAAATATTTTAGCGGATAAGAACGTTACTGAGTATTTATAAAAAAAAATTACCAGAATTGTGGTGATTAAACATGTTCGTGCCTAGTCAGATCTGACCCAAAACCCCACATAAATCAATTCATATCTGAATTCTAACCATTCAAGGGACCAAAAACAGTTATTTATTCGGGTCATAAATCATTTAGTCACATTTGTCAGTGAAGGGTGGTTTAGTGGGGGGGGAGGGGTAGAACAGCTGAGCGAGATATATGTATACAGGTCAGTGTGGTAGACAGTGTTGAATCATTCATCAACTCATGCTCGTCATCCTGAGGTTGTCATAGCAACGATAAATTCTGATCTCGTTCTGTACTTTTGAATATAGTTGGGTAGAGGATGATAATGTTAGCCTAGTGATCGGAAGATAACCGGTTCAATCCTGAGTAAAGCCAGAAGCTTTTGGATGGTTCGAAATTAGACTGCAATCCATATTCCTCATTATACATATTCCAGCTGTTCTCAAGAGTGTGGTCTTGAATAAACTGGTTAATAGAAACAGCTGATCAGTCAGTAACAAAGACACAATATCATTCAACACTCGTTTTCGCCTCAAAATACAGTAGGGTTGTATAGGCGTCATATGAATCTGATACAATTGCCAAAAATGACAATGTAATTGAATTAAAATTCAAGCCATTCCCAACACAATGTATTGATTTAGAAGGAAACCCGAAATTGCCTAATTACTGTTCTAGCTTGAGACGAGAAGTTTTTAATAACAATTCAACACGAGTTTTGTGGTGTTTAAATAGTTAAAGTTTGAATTGCATAAACTGTGTACAACTGCACTAATAGCATTTGCTCAATTCCTAAATTTGGATAACATCTATTCGATCTTATAACATCAACATATTGACTCATTAGTTGAGAGTTTGGTTCCTTCGCCTTCAAATCTTGATTTAATCTTTGGTTTGATTAAGGAACTATTATGGAACCATTTGCAATACATAACACTATTGTGATGATTTCTAATAACATGTTGACGATTAGTAATTAACGAAGCCATGGTTACAAAATTCTTTTGATGAACTTAATTCAGTAGAGGTCTCGAACATGTGTCCATCAAAATCAATATAACTAGATTAAATGCCAGTTCCTTTAAGACCCGACATAATTTCATCTGTATATGTAAAAAAAATTTAAAAAACAAAAGCCACGATTGCAAAGACGAATCAAACATAATTGGACAAATTTCAAATCCGCACATTCTCATTCGATTGGCAGAATATATATCGCAAATCTTTTACAAATCGCACTTTCTTTTCGTACAAAAAACCGCGGCGGCATAACAGGGGCTCGGGTTACACGTCACTTGAACCTTGTGAGAACATCAGTGGCCCGACGACTCCTACCTGTGGAACTCCTATTTTCATGTACAGATCACATATCCGGATATATAGCTTACTGTACATTTATGCTATGCAGGTGATTATAAAGAAACTGCATTTTTATATAAAAAAAAAAAAAAAAATAGATAAAGACCACACAAAAATACTATTTTTTTAACCATCAAAAATGTTTAGGTTTCATGGTAGCTTTAATCGTAGTGATTTAAATTAATTCATGATTTGAGTCTAAAATGTCTATACCGTCACTGAAGATTAATAGGCCATAACGGGTGACTCTTAAAAATCTTGAGATAGGACACAGCCATCGAGTGAAACCTAGAGATTGTGAGCGTTAAACCCTATCCGATGGGTAACGCCTGTTTTATCACCAGTTGTAAATTCAAATTTAATGGGAGTTTGTAAATTTACAGTCGAGATCGCGGTGTTCAAACCGCCGTGCGTATCACTGTAAATCTTACCATATTAATACAGCTGCTTTGACATGAGCTAAATTGTTTCATATTTGAAAATTATTGATTACAATTAAGTGACAAGGCGAAAAAGTAATGGGAATATTACATTGGAATTTCAATTAGGCAAGCCAAGAAACTCAATATAGTACAATTTAAGATTTAGTGAATTTAAAAAATATTTATAGGTTGTAAAATAAAGTTCTTGCAGTTAAGTGCGATTTTTACGATCGACGCTTGCTCAGAGTAAGATATTCAATCATTTAAGACCGGTTATAAATGACAATTAAGTACACTAAACCCTAGGGAGCCTATAAACTATAAAACTATAAAATGTCGAGGTTAAGGCAACTCGCTACGAAGTAAAACAAAGATAAATTATTTT